TTTGTATGAAGTTAAAAACCAAAAGCCCAAATTGTCATAAACCATTGAGATACTAAAATTAAGAAAAAAAAAATGGAACAAAAGCAAAAATTAACCTTAATATTAATTTGAAGTGATTGTTACATGTTGGGTTGGGTTAGATTTTAGGAAAAGGCTACAGTCCCGTCACGGAATGGTTCCGTGAGGGATTTTAGCCTTTAGATATGTATGCAAGTTAGTTATTATAGATAATCTATGGCTAAAATTCCTCGCGGAGCATTCCGTGACGGGAGTACAGTCTTTTCCTAGATTTTAAGATATACTTTGAATTTTTAATTATTTAAACCTGGGCTAAAATATAAGAAAGACAAAAAGATCTATACAAATAATGTATGGGTATGTATAAGTACACTTCTAGCCCACCCTAACTGATATCTCTAACTGAGCTTGAACAGTTGAACCTATTAAGCGTGACCAAAGATATATGACAAAGGCCGACCATTCCTTGTGTGTTGTTCATCTTTATTTTAAGCTCCTCCATAATAGGGCAACCCATCAGATTCAAATGTAGCCTATTTAAGACTAAGCTTCTTAAATTGCAGGTAAAGAGGATTTGAGGTAAGTGTATGGAGATAACCTTGTTTATGGAGCTTGCCACTGTGTGATGGTCCATGCAGGAGAAATCTATAACATGGACGTGGGGCCCCAAAGAGACTTCCATCTTTTGGCAAGGATGCTGGTTGAGACCGAGGTACGGTTGGGAGGAAAGACAGAGTGTGGCATATGACTTCATTTCGTAAGGAGCTCAGCTTAGCTGGTCGATTGAAGCCAAGTTAGTACGCTTTCCCTCCATAACAAAATCGACGAGGAACTGAGAAAGCTGCCAAAAGTAAATATCAAATGATGGTGAATTATATATCTGAACTTATTTTTATCAAAAATCAATTGATGTCGTTCGATTACCATGAGCGAATGCAGATGGGTTTATCCACAGCACTCATTTTACCATTTTTAGATCATGTCACAGTTCTAAAGGTGGCACACAACGATGAAAAAACAAATAAATCAAAATCATTTTATTTTTCTTTGTTGTTGTGAATGATGAACAGGTTCTGAACATGAAACTTACCATATGGTGAAACACATTTGGCACCTTGATTTTCCAAGTAAATCTTATTAGATCTGTTAAGGTAACCCTGACTACATTATTTTAACAAATACACGAATATACGAATTCAAAACGGCTTTAATTCTTGAAGGCTTGAAACCATACGATCCATTAATGAAATGTGTGTTTCAAATGCAATGTGAAAACTAACCCAGATAAAACAAACTGGGCATCAATCACAGCAAAAACTGAAATGGATAAAAGGGAAAGGGGAACTTTTCGACATAATCAGAATTCATATAGATTGTCACTAAAGTTGTTAAACAAAATGGGCTGCTCGTGAGTTTGGCTGCGCTTGCTCGTTTGATAAACGAACCAAGCTTTAATTGGTTTACAACTCTGTTTAGGGTTGACTCGTTAAAGCTTCAAAATAGAAATTTCATGTCAGTTTTTATAGCTTAATTAATGGTATCAAGCTAAGCTTTGCTAAAAAACGGTTTGAGCTCAAGCTCGAGTATTAAGAGCTCGAGCCATGCTCATTTTGTTTACACCTATTCATGTATTCTTGCATGGTATGATCCACCAATATTGAAAATTAGTGAAATAAAAACTAAAAAATAGTGAACCTTGTATCTTGTTACATGCATTGAACAAAACATGGCAATAATATATACATTGAAGGTTAAACTCAAGACAAATTAATAGAGAATTTTTGAATCAATTTCTTTGGTAATTGCAGGTATATGAGCAGAGCTGCAACAACAAGGGTGGGTACAAATGCCACTAAAACAGTAAAAACTTGAGCAAAACTGAACATAACACTTGGGAGTTTATGAATCGTCAAGTAACATACCCGATATTTTCATTGTCCCACAATTGCACGAAACATAAGCAAGTCGAAATAGTTACTACAGAAGTTGAGGAACACGCGGTCGTCGAATGCTGACATCAGTACTTACTACATAATAAAATCTCAAGCCAATCACTCAACAAACTCAAATAATGAAATTCGAGGAACATTCAACCGTTAAATAAAACGTCAATCCAATCACTCAATAGTGGCAAGCTGACAAGCGTTGGATCCTCGCTCAAACAATGCAATTCTCTTGAACGCTTGTAATCTCGTTTCCCGATCAATAAATATTGAATCATAAGGTGAGATAAATGTTTCCATCCTCTCCAATACTCGAGAATTTCTCAAAAGATATCTGACCATGTCAAATTCATGCTCACTGAACTGCACTGACTTAAATGTTATTGTTTTTAAACATGATAATAGGCATTTAGGCACTTGATCGGACTCCGGAAACAAATATCCCTCTTCAAAATAAACCTGCCAACAACACTAAAAGAAGCATAACAAAATGAGTTAAAAACAAAAGAAGGAGCTATTGTTGTAAGAAAACTGAGAAACGGCTAAAGGCAAATTTAATTGCATAGACGATAAACTCAACTTACAATAAGGACTTGTAGATTATCAGCAACTTCAAGGAACTTTACAAGCAAACTCCATTCGAAGTTCAATCGGAGTTCAAGTTTGGTTAAATTATCAAACTTTACATCTGAACAAGCAAGTCCTCTACGAACAAGCTGGAAAAATTAAAACCACATCATGCATATATATAACAAAGCTGAAAACTAATTGACAGGAGGCCTAAGAGATTAAAGAATGAAAACATACCTCCTCAAAATTCCAACCTGATATCTTTAGGCACTTTACATAAGACAGAGAATGAAGAAACTTCACCACTGTGGAATTGCAATTCGTTTCGAGATTTGAGAAGCAATAATATTGTAAGCGGATATCCGCCTCAACTAAGGAGATAATGCTTATAGGAATTGTTATACGCTCCAAGTCATAGCCACCCACTTCGAGATACCTAAGGGCCGGGGAATTTATTATCACCCTATATTCAACGGTACAATCAAAAGCGACGCTAGGAATGAGCTTAAGCATCTTTATTGTGGGTGATGATATGTTTATGCAGCCCACATAATCATCTTTCTCCACAAAGATGAATTCCATAATCAACTCCTCGAGCGACGGACAGCCAGAAAGAAAGTGAGGAAGTGCATCATCATTCTCACACACAACATTAGAAACTTGAAACTTCTTGAGGCTAGGTAGAGAGACATTGTCCATAGCAGAGAGTGACACTCTACTACATAAATCACGAAGCTTCAAGTCTACAATATTTTTGCTGATGAAGAGGGATCGAGGGATTGTATCTATTTTAAGTTGGAGATGAAGCTTCCGGATACTACAGTCGATGGCGGTTGTAATCCATGTCTCCAGTTGATACTGGTTGCAGTTGAGGTCACAGAGTGTTAAAGTATCCATTCTTTCTGCCTTGTGCTGCAATATAACCTGGTGGATGATATCCAAGACTTGTGTTTCTTCTTTCCAGAAATCGAAATTGCGTACATTGAAGTTCAGACATGGTACATGGGCCCATAGAAATCTCCAACTTCTTCCCAGAACGCTGGTCGTCACTGAGCGCTTAGTCGGGAGGAAAGAGAGAATGTGGCATATGACTTCGTCCGGCAAGCTGCTGAGCCTATCGATCGAGGCCATGTTTTGCTCTCTATCCGAAAGCTTTGGGCAGTTTACACTTGGTTGTCTGGTTTCCTCCATGTAAATTCTGACAAGGGGCACCTGATTTTCACAATTTTAAACCAAGGCAGCAGCATTCAGAGGGTACCATGATTCAGTTATTGTCTGTCTGATGAGTAGTTAAAGTCTAATGTGAAGAAGATGATGAGACAGATCATTTTCACAAAATTTTGTTATCTCCATAGATTTTCTCTTGGGAATTTCCACAAACAGTTGGCTGGCAAATCACTTCAACAAAACTACGTTGTTTAAGAGGTTTATTTTCATGTGTGCGTGTAGATATATAAGAACAAAAACGAAAACGAATAATCAAATAGCGGCGGAGAGAAACCATAGCTGCTTACCGGTGAACTCTTGTCGCCCTCAGTTTAGTTCTCTTTAGATAATACAACTCTGTCGAATCAATTTAAGAATAATATCTTAAAACTTTTTAATGGATGAAAAATTAAAGAATATATATCGTAAAAAAAAATAAGAGCAAAACCGAAACTAGACTTTAATTAAGATTTCAATACAAAAACTCAACTATGACATATTGTCGTGTAGAGATGTTAAATGGTACTTAGCCCGACGGGCCGGCCCGTTTAGCCCGAAAAAAAAGGTTAGGTCCTTTTATTAGTAGCCCGTTTAAATCAGGGCTTTTTATGCCCGAATCGTTTAGCCTGAAGCCCGCTAGGGCTAGCCCGAAACCCGCTAGGGTAGTTCCGCTTAACTAGATTCGACGGTGTAAATGTTTGTATCAAGTAAGTAATATGCTTTTAAATTACTTGTATATTTCAATTCGGGTATTCTACTTCACATGTAAGTATGAGTTGTAATGAATTATTAGGATTTTGAAAGATAATTATTAACAATATTGTTATTGTACTTCATACTCAAATATTTAAGTCAATCAGAACGACTAATAGGAAAAATATGAAACGTAGTGATAGACGGTAAATACTAAATAGCCGTTGAAAATAATTTTTAACTAGCTGATGTTATTTTTTTAATATTTTTTGCTCTTTTTATTTTTGATTATTATTATTATTATTATTATTATTATTATTATTATTATTATTATTATTATTATTATTATTATTATTATTATTATTATAGCCCGCATAGCTCGTTAAGCTCGAAGCCCGCTAGGGTTAGGGTTAGGTCATTTTTTTGTAGCCCGTTTAAATCCGGGCTTTTTAGGCCCGGACCGTTTAACTCGAAGCCCGTTAGGACTAGCCCGAAACTGCTAGGGCTAGCCCGTTTAACATCTCTATTGTCGTGCATGAAAATGTGAACAAAAAAAGAGTTCACACATTTGTATAAGACAACCAAGTTATTTATTTTAGAGGTTGCCATAGTCGACCCAACCCACCGAACCGGTACAAAACTATGGGTCTTGGAATCGGACCAATGGTAAAACCGGTCAGTTCCGAGTCTTGAAAAATGTGGTATGGTTAGTTATAGTGAAATTTTAATAATGTATTAAAATATTTAAAATAAAATGATTAAAGTTGATTTGATGTAAAACTAAGAGATAAGTGATTGAAAATGATAGGTAGTTAAAAATATGTAAGTGGGTGAATAGTGAATTAAAGTTGATTGATGTTTAAGAATGATTTGTTTGTATTATTTAATTATATGAATAATATTAAAGATAGTGGAGTTGAGTTAAAATTGAATTAGATTTTGAATTGAAATAAAGGTGAGTAAACTAATTTGTATACAAGCAAGCCCTTATCCTTCATATATTATAATAATTCTGTAATTCATATTATATACTAAATTTGATTACATAAATTTATTTAACTAATAACTTAATTTATGACATTTGAATTAATATTTAGAAACACTTCAATTTCTATTATACATATACATATATACACACTCAATTAAAGAGAAAATTTAATTTGATGCATTACAAATGAAAAATCAAATAATATTTACAAAAACAATTAGTATTTAAAATATATTAATAAATTATATTAAATAAATATTTATATTTTTATAAATTAGAATGTACATGGGCATAGCTATAAAATCTACATCTATGTAAACTACTCCCCAGTCCCTAGAAGAAGAAGAAGAAGAAGAAGAAGAAGGAGTGGGAAACATGAGATTTTAAGGAAAGACTAATGGTGCTTTTTGTTTCTTGATCAACACTGAACATAACACTTGGGAGTTTATGAATCATCATCAATTTGGATATCCGATATTTTCATCGTCTCACAATTGCACGAAACATAAGCAAGGCAAAATAGTTCTACAGAACTTGAGGAACTTTCAGTTGTCAACTTAAAGCGACATAACAAGACTTCACGCCTATCGCTCAACAATCTGGAAGGAACACAAGCTTACATGCGCTGGATCCTCGCTCAAACAATATAATTCTTTTAAGCGCTTGAAATTTCGTTTCCATATCACTGTATCCATAAGGTGAGACAAATATTTCCATCCTCTCCAAAACTCGAGAATTCCTCAAAAGATATCTTACCATGTCAAATTCAGACTCGGTGATCCACATCGACTCCAATGTTATAGTTCTTAGACATGATAATAGGCATTTAGGCACTTGTTCAGCCTCCGGACACAAATATCTCTTCGCCAAATGAACCTGCCGACACTAAAGGAGCATAACAAAATGAGTAAACAAATAAAGGAGCTATTGCGGCAAGGAAAACGAGAAACGGCTAAAGACAATTTTAATTGCATCAACGATATAAACTCCACTTACAATAAGGACTTCAAGATTATCAGCAACTTTAAGGAACTTTACAAGCAAACTCCCTTCCAAGTCCAGTAGGAGTTCAAGTTTGGTTAAATAATCAAAGTTTACAGTTGAATAAGCAGCTCCTCCACGAATAAACTGAAAAATTAACACCACATTACGCATATATATATATATATATATATATAACAACAAAGCCGAAAATTAATTGACAGGAGGAGGTTGAAGAGATTGAAGAATCAAAACATACCTCCACAAATTCCCAACATGATATCTTTAGGCATTTTACATAACACAGAGAATGAAGAAACTTCACCAACGTGGAATTGCAACTTTGAAAGCGGATATCTGCCTCAACTAAGGAGACCATGGTTATAGGAACTGTTATACACTCCAAATCATAGCCATACACTTGGAGATACCTAAGGGCCGGGACATTTATTATCACCCTATATTTAAGGTTAAATGGAGAGGTCAAATCGTGAAGATCGAGCTTAAGCGTCTTTAATGTGGGTGATGATATATTTATGCAGCCAACATAATCATAATCAAATGGTCCCTCTTCCACAGATGTGAATTCTATATTCAACTCCTCAAGCGACGGACATCCGGAAAGAAAGTGAGGGAGGGCTTCATCATTCTCGCACACAACATTAGAAACATGAAACTTCTTGAGGCTAGGCAATGAGACATTCTCCACAGCAGACAGTGACGCTCTACAGAAATCAAGCTTCAAGTCGACAATGGTTTTGCAGTTCAAGATGTATCGAGGGAATGTATCCAAGTCATGTTCAAGATAAAGATTCCGAATACCACGGTCGATGGCGGTTGTAATCAATGTCTCCAGTTGATACTCGTTGCACTTAATGTGTTCGAGTGTTAAAGTATCCATTCTTTTTGTCTTGTGCCGCAATATAACCCCGTGGATGATGTCCGAGGCTTGTATTCCTTCTTTGTCTGAGTCTTGTGTTTCTTCTTCCGAGAAATCGTCCGAGTCTTGTGTTTCTTCTTCCGAGAAATCCTCCGAGTCTTGTGTTTCTTCTTCCGAGGAATTGTCCGAGTCTTGTGTTTCTTCTTCCACGAAATCGTCCGAGCCTTGCTTTTCTTCTTTCGAGAAATCGTACAAGTCTGCTGTTTCTTCTTCCGAGGAATCGTTTGAGTCTTGTGTTTCTTCTTCCGAGAAATCGTCTAAGCCTTGTGTTCCTTCTTCCGAGAAATTGTCCGAGTCTTGTCTTTCTTCTTCCGAGAAATCGTCCGAGTCTTTTCTTTCTTCCTCCGAGAAATCGTCCGAGCCTTGTGTTCCTTCTTCCGAAAAATCGTCTGAGCCTTGTGTTCCTTTTTTCCTGAAATCAAACCCTCTGAAATGCAAACAGGGTACATGGGCCCATACAAACCTCCATCTTATTCCAAGAACACTGGTCGCCACTGAGCGCTTTGTCGGGAGGAAAGAGAGAATGTGGCATATCACTTCATCCGGCAATCTGCTCAGCCTGTCGATCGAGCCCATGTTTTGTTCTCTATCCGAAAGCTTTTGGCAGTTTACACTTGGTTTTCTGGTTACATCCATGTAAATTCTGACAAAGGGCACCTGATTTTCACAAACTCCAAATAAAGGCAGTAGCTTTCAGAGGGTACCATGATTCATATCATTTTTTTGACGGGCATTTTAATTCTAAGCATAATGTGAAGAAGATGATGAGGCAGATCATTTCCACAAAATGTTGTTATCTTCATATATTTTCACTTGGGAATTTCATCAAACAGTTGGCTGGCAAATAATTTCAACAAAACTGTGTGTTGTTTAAGATGTTTACTTTCATGTGTGTGTACAGATATATAAGAACAAAAACGAAAACGGATAATCACAAAGCGGCGGAGATAAAATATAGCGGCCTACCTGTGAGCTCTTCTCGCCCTCAATTTTGAGGTTGTATTGTATAGCACCGTTGAATACACCACTGACGAATGAATTTAAGGGTGTGTTGTATTTATTTGAGAATTTAAATAATATCTTAAAACTTTTTTATTTTAAAATATTTTTTTATTTTTAAAATAAAAGATTTTATGAAGCAATAAATGTGTTGGAAATTGGAAAGGGTAAGTTAAACTCTGCGTGTTACGAGTTTTGTTAATTCTAGGATTTAATTTGTTAGTTTTATAACATTTAAGTCTCGAATTAAAGGAAAAAAAAAAATCTTTCAAGCCCTGATTTAATAGTTTACCCATCTTTTGAGTCTTGTATTAAAAAAAACTCCATTACAAAATTAATAGTAAACAAAAAAAACGAGTTAAATTAATTTCAACCGAATCGACGAGATAACCGATCGAAGTTTCGGATATTGCGAGGTACAATTGTAGATCATAAGATATCGTTAGAGTCATCAAGAGGATAAAAAATAGTTTACAAAGATATTTCTCATGATAATTCAACGAATATATCTCAATTGACATTTCGAAAAACTTCAATGTTATATTTCCTGCTAAAAGCTCTGTAGCGTGAACTTAATTATCATGTTACAATTCCTGTTAAAAGCTTTGTAGCATGAATTTAATTATTTTAGGATCTTGTTTGAAATTTTGAAGATTGATGTAAAATTAGAAAATTAAACCTCTGTACAGATATTTTTAGCTTCTTAATGCAACTAACTAGCTTGTTTTGGATAAAA